TGAGCCTGTGGAAAAACCTGTTCATATCTAATATTCCTGCTAACTTGAAAATGCAAGGTAGAATCTATCCAAAATGAAATGGTTCCCAAGGTTGGAAGCTGAAGTGTTTAGTAGTCCAAAGCAGTAACACCACTGAGCCCACACCCAGTGATTTTTGTAGTAGAATTTTTAGGTGACCTTGCATCACCAGCATAAATTGTAGAGGAAAGAGCACAGGGACACACACAACTCATTGGGCACCTTCACTGTGTCAGAGCTTACAAAGACTGCACATGCTTTGGCAATTAGCAACTGGGAGACTGATGAAACACGGAACAATGCCTTGGATCCTTCCAGTATTTAATATAGCCATTAACTAATTAGATTTCATGACCATTTAGAAGACAGATGATATTGTAATCTCCATTCTATTAACAAGAACAATATGGTACTTCCATGAGAAACCTGCCAACAGGAGAATGAGGCCCCAGAATTTAAACAAACCCTAGATCCTGTCCACACCATACGTTTTAGTCAAAAGGAAGAAGTTGTGATGCTCAATTAGGCTGGACAGTGGGACAAGCACTAATTGTGTTCACTCTCTGGGTCAAACTCTGAAAAAACATGAGATCTGCTGAAGATAAAAGGAATTGTAGCAAAGCACCCAAAATTTCAGCTAGACTGCTTCTGAGAAACAAAAGCACCAAGCAATAAAGCTAACTACTGATACAAGGCTGGTGCTGAGTCCCACAAACAATGATATCACACAAGCTCCTGTTTTAGAGGCTCAGGCACACTATAAATTAGGTGAGGGTGTTAAAACAACAGCTGGCTGCTAATTAGTCACAGCCCCCCTCAGCAGGGTATCAGCAAAGTGGCAGAGAACATCTCAAGTAAATTAAATTTTAAAAAATCCTACTGCAATCACTCCCCTGACAGACCCTTCCTTCATCTCCCCTCTCAGCTTTTTATTTATTGTAATTACTTTAGTAATAAGATTTGTTTCCTTGTTATTATATATATTACCATGCAGGGCAACAACAACAACAACAACAAAAAATAATAGCTGGGAAGAGTTATGGAGCTTATTTATCTCCTTGGCTGTTATTGGGCCGTTGGGTGGAGAGAGCAATGAGGAGGTAGGGGCCTGGGAAAAGCAGTAAATAGAAAAGAGAGCATATTCCTTGGGAGCAGAGACATATGGGGGCATATTTACGAAGGAGGAAACACTGACAATGAGTGAATAGAGCTAATAACTCAGGGGGCCCAGCAGCCCTGGCTGATAAAGGAAGGAATAAACAATCCTGCACTGCAAGGGCTGTCAGAAGGGAGAGTCCTGGGGTGCAGCTGTCTGCAGGGGGATGTTTATCATAGAAGGAGAGCCAAGGATGGGCTGTTACATCAGCACAGCACAAAGGGCCTTGGATGAAACTGGGGCACCTCCCACAGCAGAGAGGAAACTCAGACAAGTGTGTGGTGCAGGGCCAGACACCATTTCTGGTTGTTCCACCAAGGAACAATTCACAGAAATGAGAGCTAAGAAATACTGCAGCTCATATTTTATCTCATGCTGTGCAGGCACTAGTCACATTTGGTACCCTAAGCTCTCAAATCCATCACTGCCCTTTCAGTGAAAGCCAGCAGAAGCAACACCTGAGGCACCAAAGCAGCAAAGAGCTGTAAAAATTTCTGCTTCACTTGAGGAAAATGAGCCCACACTTCATATGTACCTCCCAGAGCCACCAAGTATCCCAGTACAGATGTTCACAGAACTTGCATCTTTGTCATCTCTGAGGTCTTAAGGAAAGCACCAGTGCACATGCTCTTACAATGTGCATCTCAGAGCCAGTGTATGTGAGGGTTGAGTTTTCACAATTTACAAAATGTTCTTTTTTTTCCAAGCATGCCTTGCCTTCCACATATGCCTAGCCAACTACTTTTGGCAAGGTGGTGACAATTTAGGTGCAGAACTTCTGAAGAAAATACAGGGACAGACTCAGAGCATCTGTCAAAGAGCAGCACACGACTCCTGTAGCACCTCTCTCCTAGAGAGAAATTCCATTAATTCAAAACCACTCCTTTCCCAGCCTTCTCACTTCTCTGCTCTGTCCTTAGAGAAACAAACACATCATAGATTAAGCAGCCTGGAGAGAGCCTTTGGAGTGTATTTGCAGAGTGCATGGCACCAATTTAGAGCTAAACTTCTCCTTCAACCCTCTGACCACAGAGAAGCAATAAAGAGAAGGAGGGATGTCTGCAGTTGTACAGCTTTGTGTGACATCACCTCAAGATTTAGTCCTTAAGGATGCAGTTCTGCATCATAAAGCGACTCCTTAGACCAGCCACTAGGTTTTTTTCCCTGTCCCTGATCCTTTCTGCCTCTTATTGCACAAAGAACACAATGTGTCTGTTCAGGAGAGTAAGCATTAATACAGGAGAGAAAAAGGTCATTTATACAAATTGTGTATTTGGGTATAGAGACAAATCGGGTGCTTCTCCTCCTCCTAAGATCGTCCTTCCAAACAGAAGGCACCAGGTTCCAAAGGTTAAGTGGGAGCACACTCCTTTTTAGCTTTGTACTTTTTGACACTGTGCAGAAGAAAACTGTTCTAGGAGGTATTTTAGTGGGCATTTCTATCTCTTTATGTCAGTAATTGTCAAACAACTGAAGCTTTTCTCTGATAGGCTTGAGGAAGTAATGAACAAAGCCCCTGAGTACAACCAGGAACAGAGTAAATTAAAGGGGAGGGAGCATCAAGGGAGAGATAGAAAACCCAGCACCACACCTACCTTACCTTGGAGAAACAAAGCTCCCTCAGCCTGTGCTGGGGGAGGGAAGGTGCAGGAGAGAACAGGATGTTTTTGAAACAGATAAATAGTCCATGGCTATATTCCAAAAGAAAAACCAGGATTTCCTCTACCTAGCTGCTACTATGGTTACCCCACGCCTTTGAAGAAATCAGGTGGCTTCCAATAATTTTCCTTCATCTAAAAAAGACTCACCAGCTCCCATCTCCACTCATTGGTTCATTAATTTACAAAATACATCAAGTTCTTTTCAATGAAAAGCCTCCTTGATTCAACAGGAGGGAAGAGTCAGAAAAGGGAAGCAGATGAAAATAAAAAGGAAACATTAAAATCAGGTAAAGGAAGAGGAAGAAGATGCAAATTCTTACACACTCCCACAAGCTCTTACACACCCACACACACTCTTACATGCTACCAGTAAACCTGAGCCCCAGAACAAAAATATTTCTTTTAATGGAAGAGGAACCATGGCTACTAAAAACATATAAAGAAACAAGAAGAATATGTGGACCATGGGAGGACTCGCAAGAGAAATGCATTTAAAGCATAAAGCAATTATTTATTCCCCTACCCAGGCCTCATGATTAGTAAAGGAGATGTGGCCAAGTCCCTGTTATGCTGGTCCTATCCATTTAAGATTTACTAAATTCTTCTTCATCAACAGATTTAACTGCAGCTCAAGCTCGTCTGCACCACAGAACACCAAAGACCTTCCTGTGTGACACAGGTCTGGGCCATACCCTTCATTTGTGTGTCACCAAGAGCCACATTCTCCCTCCTGAAGGTCCCTTCTCTGCTACACTGGTTCCTGACAGCTGGAGGAAAAGGTCAGCCATTCCCTCCAGTCCTGCATCTGATGGAAAATTCAACTAAGTGTAGTGAGAGGAAAATAATAAGGGGGAAAAGCCACAATTGTTTTTCTTGTTCCTTTGTGAGGATCAAGAAAGCATTTGGTACCATGGAGGCTTTGAATAACCTGGGGCAGTACCCATCTATTCTGAATAGTGCTCCCAGCTTCTGGCAGACCCAGGTCCTGGGGAGCACAGCAGCCCAAAAGCTGAGACTTGACAGACTAGAAACTATCAGAAAAGCCCAAGGTGCTCTCTAGTGAACCACTCACCCTAAACTGAGCTGAGTTTCAAACCCAGCTCAAATGCAGTTGTTGCTCAGGATTTGCTTTTCTGTTCCTGCAACAATCATCACAGCACAACCCCAAAGCAGGTGTGGGACTGCAGCTTAAGAAAAGTTGTTCCTCTACACTTTGCTGTGTTTCAGTGCTTATTTAATCCCATCTTTCAGCTTTGGCATTTGTCATGTGCTCCTCTGCAATAAGCCAGGGGACTCAGTTGTTGCAAATCCTGCAAGACCCCATCACCAGGTCACGATAGCAGCCACTGGTGGGATGTGAGCATGATGTCCTGCCCTTGCATCGGGCAGAACCAACAGTTATTAACTCACTGCCACTCCACAAACACCCAAAGTGAACAAATTCCACCGTCTGCAGAGAGGAGGAGATTTGTTTTCCAGCAAAGAGCAAGCCTACCTTAGATTAGTGCCCTCTAAAAGGTTTCACACAACAATGTTTATTTAAGCTCAAAATATTAGGAGCAGAGTTGTGCCTTCTCCAGTCATGCACAGGGAGAGAGAAGTTAGTGTGGGTGGATAGGGAGGGTATAAGGTAAAGAATGCAAAAAGGAATCAATATTTTTCCAAGATCAGATTCAGCATCTCTTAGGAAACACGTGGGAGGGAAGATTGAAAAGAAGGTGGGAGAAGGAGGAAGGTTCACTATACAGAAATATTTCTGTGAAATGTTAAGAAATCCTTATTCATCCTCTCCCACCAGGTTATACAAAGCATTAATTACAACCAGTTTTCCCCAAGCATATCTGCTTTGCAGCTGTATTCTGCCCTGCTGCTTTAGCAGGATGGATAAACCTCCATTTGTCAGTAAAGGTCCTGTTTCTCCAGCACCACTAACACCCCTTCCAGGGAACTGAGAGATCTTCTGACCATAGACAGTACAGAACCACATACATCTGACAAATGCAGGACAGCACACCAGGCCAGTTTCAGATTCACTTTTTCCATACAGGACTGAAGACAGGATGAATAAAACACGGAGCAAAGGGAATTCTCCCAGCACAAACATTGAAGATGAGACCTGCTGGGTGCACAGGCAAACCTCAGGATAAGCACACATCACAACTCACTTGCCATTGATGACTCCATCAGGATTAAGCATGGGCACAATCTTGAAGATGAAACATTTCCTCAGGAGCTCAGCAATGGGATCGCTGCTCACCAGGAACTCCAGGGTGCCCTTCATCACCCAGCTGGCGTTGCTCTCACCAGGGTGAACACGAGCTGTGAGGAACACGTAAGGACGGCTGCCTGCAAAACAAAGCAAAAGCACCCCGAAACTAAACAGGGCTTGTCTTTCAATAAGGTCTTTGCAAGTGGATTTTAGTCCTTTTGGATTTAGATAACAATCCAAAATGCATTCTAAGGAAAATATATCCCTGGACATTCCAGATATTTACTCACGGTGCCATCTATAAACTGATCACAGATTTGGTCCTCATAACCAGCACAGAGCTCATTTTGTTTATTCTGTGATAACTTCTAGGTATTTACATTCTGCAGGTGCAAGTTACTGCTTCCAAATAGCTTTACCATACTTTCTAGAAACTATTGAAAGTTTGATTTCATCAAATTTCATTAAGGCAGCAAGAAGTTATTTAATTGTCTAAGGTTCTGCTCTGCTTTCAGTATTTTGCCATTAACAATTCAGAACTTTCTCAATATCTAAGCAGATTTGCCCACCCATAAGGAGCTCCAAGGACATGGAAGCTGACTGATCTCTGGAAATAATTTGTGTTGTAAGGTCAAAATCATAATTAATTGAACTAAACCAATAAAATTAAAGAAAATGCACTAATATGTTCACCAGAGCTGCAGAGGTTGAATACTCAAACCTAATGATTATTTCATAACAATACAACAAAAAGTAGAAAAAACAATGTACACAGCTAAGGCAAGCTGTTGCTTTTGGTGGAAAGACTTTTTCAGTTTTATATAATATAGATGCTCACTCAGATTAGAAAAGATGATTTTCAGAAGTTGCAACTAGTAGAGTTCATCTGTTTCTAGCATTGCTTTCATGCATGGGAAACATAAGCTGTGGCAGTTTGAGGTAGGGGAGGGGATTTGGGGGGTTGCTTAAAAAAAAAAAAAGAAAAAACCCAGAGAGTAAATTGAATTTTTACTGATCAGTTCATTGATAATCTCTACTGAACTTATTTCAAAACAGACTTGCAACTTAACAGCAAAAGTTTGCTTGTTATCAGATATGTTATTTGCTGTTCCTGTGAAAAAGCCACTAAACACATTTGGCCTGGGTACAAGCCTCCAAAAACTCTCAGCATACATATGCTTAGAAAAGACCAAGTTTGACAGCAGATTCTTTGAAGATCCCATCTGTGCTAAGCACACTTCAGGGATGGGCCAAGGAAACAGGAGAAGGCAGAAGGAGACACCTGCCAGGCACAGAAAATAAAAGGAAAGGAGAAAGCAATTATCTATCTTAAAATGATCCTTTTGTGAGCATTCACTACCACAAGTCAAGCTGACAGATTTACTTCAGTGGCAAGCTTTATCTCCCAGGGCATCACAGCCACGCCAGGGCAGGTTTGTCCTGCTCCATCAGGACATGTCAGAGCTCAGGCTTTGTTCTCTTCATGAACTGAGGGCCCCCAGCTGACAGGGCTGGGAGAGGCACCAGGACAGAATGCAAAACCAAAGGCATCAGCTGAGTGCCCTTGTAAATAAATGCTGAATTAGCTCCTTATATGCCTTTGTCCTTATCTCCCAAAGCCATCCTTCAGTTTCCTAATGTGTTACAAATCATTAATCAATCATAGTAAAACAGGGAGGTAGAGCACCATCCCCAAAAATACAGATGGCAACAAAGAAATGTTGAGTCATTGGTCTGACCAAGAAAAAGCTGTGCCAGAGCTGGTAATGCAGGTGAAATTTCTCATTTCACATTCACATAAGGAATAAGCATTAATTTCTCTCCTTACCTGTATATTCTGCACAGTTGTGCTCAGTATGTACTTTACAGCACAATTTAGGTACATCATACAGGGACACACTCAGATTTGGAAATAATCCCACATCCACACTTCCCTCTTAAACAGTTGGTGGGCACTAGAAGAGTGAACTGCACTCCCAGCTCAAGGAGCTCATACAGAGCAATCATGTTCTGGTCCAGTAAAGCAACTGGGGCTCTGTTCCTCAATAGCCCATATCAGGCTTTTGTCATTCTTACACCTCACCATACTGTGGGGGTTTGGTACATTTTCATCACTCTGTACTCATAAGTGCCTTAGGTACTTATGGATTGCCCAAGACTCCTTAGTTCCTGCAGAACCAGCCATTCTGATCTTTCCCCCCAAAATTAGAAGACATTAGTTCTGTTCTTCTCCAGTTAATTGTGCATTACCATCTACCTTAGTAATGCTTTACAATAGCAACCTACAAAAGCCAGATTTCACAAAGACATCAACTGCATTTTGCCATTTTCAAACATTTTCTCCTTTCTCCCATCACCATGATTTAATGCTGTTTTGCAGGTTCATTGCTGAGCTAAACTTATGGGGCTGTGCAGTTATAGCTGGGAATGAGGCTCCTGAGGACTTCTAATGGACAACAGCTGTAAATAGCACAGAGTAGAATAAAATGTGCTCTCTTTTGCAATTGATGAATATAGCTTTAACAACTCATACCTATTCTGGATATTGATAGAGTTCAGCATCTTAATCAAGAGGTTCACTCCTCAGTCAAAATAAGAAAAGAAAAACAACCTCTAAGCAACAGCTTTCTCATGTCAGAAACTCAGGACAATTTGCCATAATTCTGCTAATTGCAATAGCATGGGGCTGGCAGAGATCTGACTTCTGCTGTTTCTCTCAAGGCTCATCAAAGTCAAGCTTGTCTTGCTGAGACTGTGTTGGAAAAGCTCCTGGAGTCTCCAGATCTTAAACGTGAAGGAAGGGAAAGAGATCAGAGATCACCTACATTGTTCTCCTGTGGGTGACAAGGGAAGGGCCCCATTGCCTGCAGGTCCAGCCAAGGAAATCTCTCTATTTCAGAGAAAGTTTCCTCTGAAAGATCCCCTCCTGCCAAGCACATCCACAGTTCTGACATCCCACCCACAGGAGAGTCGTAAGGGAGGTTTGTATAAGCAAGGAAACCACAGAGCTTGTTAACTGTCTGTTCCCTTCACAGGAGCCAGCACAGCCAAATCCCACCTCCAAATGCTGCTCCCCCAGAGTGCTCCCAGCATGACAACTAATGAAGCAGCAAACAGAGCAAAGAGTTGATGACATGGCCATAAAACTTGCTACTCTTCAAACACCTGGAAAACAGCAGGAGTGGCCCAAACTCATGGTTTACAGCATATCCAGTTACTTTGGAATTACTGTGCTAACTGCTATTAACAGAGCTCATGAAAGGAGTAGGCAGAGCACTGGCCAGCCATGCTCCACACTCGACTAGCAGCACCAGCTGAGATCTCTGCACTCAGTTCAGCTCCTTCCCTTCATTCCTGACCTCCAGCACCCCCATAACTGCAGTCCTGACCAGACCAGCTCAGTACCACCCAGTACAGCTTACTGCTGCCCAGCTGCACTTCTCTCTCTGCTCTTTCAGAGCTCCATGGTACAACTTCCCATGCCCTGCTAAACCTGCGTTAAGGACTCACAACCTCAGGTTCTCTCATAGACCTCCTCCCAGGACCAGAACTGAGCTTAAATCTTCAGAATCCTCAGGCCAACACTTAGGCAGCTCTTTTCCAGGCTCTGAAGAAGCTGCCAGAAAGCTCAAGTTAGGCATTTATCTCTGCAAAGCCCACATGACATATAACCTTCTCTGGGAATGAAAATAATAAAAAGGGAAAGTAGAGGAGCCTTTTTGTGATACATAAAGCCTTATCCAGCAAATCATGTCTCCTTACACTGTGTTACTTTTCAACATGCCCAGAATATAACATGGCAACAACAATACCCAAGGTAGGAGATTAAAGAACCACTGATTTCTCTTGCAAAACTTAGAGCAAAGAACCTTTGAATGATAATTTTACTAATGTATCACCTAATTCCCATCTCACCTTCTCTTCACTCATTTTTGATTGTGTATCTATGAATGAAAATGAGAGCTTTGTTCTTCCAGACATGCTAACTTGCTGCTTAAATCTCCTGCTTCTAAGGGTCTTTCTCTAGTCATGTCATCACCAAGGTTCACTAAGAGGTGACTTTGATGTCAGTAATCGTGACATCAACTGGGGAATGAGAAGCTTGAAAGAAAAGAACAAAACCCCATTAACACAGCAGTGTCCCTCATCAAGGGGAGCACAAAAAGGAAATGAAAAGCAGTTCCAGATGCCCTGACCTGGGCTGCTGTTCTAAATTATTTCAAGCTGAGGTTTGAGCCATGCCATTTGTAAAGGGACAGGACATTGAAATGACATAGGGATAAGATTTTTTAAGGAGTCAAAGGGAATTATGTACACAGCATGTGAAAAATTCAATCTAGATCTGGGTCTTGGGCTGAAACTTTCTGGCTGTGCCTCTGCATATCTCTCTTTCCTTTGCACAAGCCCAGGGCCATTAAGATACAGGCTTCTTTTTTTCCTTTATATCTAAGTACAGCATGACTACCATGAGCATGACACAGATCAAAGGGCCAAGTTTACCCCAGGATATAGTAGAGAAAACCCAAGAAAGCAAAACTTTTCCTTCCAACTTAATTAGCTGTTCTCACTACAGGCTATTCTGTGAGTAAATGATGGGTAAACAGGAGGACAATCACATAGCTCTTCCATGCATGTCACAGCTGCTTCATGTTCTGGATCCATCTGACATGCCCAAGGCTGCAGAGTTAAGCAAAGCCAGAGAGAAGAGGGGATATGGTGTGATGTACAATTAATATATTAAAGTATATTTGTAAAAAACATCAAATACTGAGATCACAGAAAACAATGAGCCTGATCCGAGGTAGAATCTGCATCAGATACTTTTCTCCCCTCCTAAAACTTTTCCACCAGTTGTCAGACTTTCAGTTGCCTTAAGACAGAATAAATCTTCCCTACCCCAGATTGCCATCTCCTTGCTGTGCCTGTTTTTGGCTAAATGGTCCAAAAGCAGATACATCTTAATACAGAGGCAAAACACAGCCTAGCAGGATCAGCTGTTATATTCCAGAATTATCAATGAGCTATTCCTTTCTTAAATATGTCTGTATTATATGTTTTATTACTGTTAGCTGTGGCAAAGAAGTGAACATAACAAAGCATCTCAGCTGCCTGTTCTCTATCTTTATAGCTTGATGGG